CAAAAACGATAGGGCAGGAGCACGAGCCTTTACTGACAGTTAACCTTAATAATAAAAAATCCGTTTTTTTCCCTTTCCTTTTCATCACTTCTGTGTGCTTTTTATAGTGCGTCTCAGTGCAATTGCTTCTTTTCACCACAGAGAATACACAATGGCAAAACTCATTGTCTCTTTCACACACTTTATGGCTCCATCAAACTGCAAAAACAAACACATTAATCATCAGAACACACTGATAGACCATTAATTATTGTACCTCACTGTTGATGTCACACGTTGTTGAATCCTTTCACGGATAATCATGTTGTCTGAACTTTATTAAACTAACTGTTCATTTACAAAGCCATATCTGGACTCCGAGTCAGCGAGATAAGAGACTATATTTTCTTTTAAAGAATCTTTCAGTAAACATTAAAAGGAATATCTGCCATAGAAGAATTCCACCATTTCCCCCCGTACACAGCTGAGATCGGGAGCGTATTACGGCTGAAATGCCAGAGCTCGACAGATAGCGGCGATAACAAAGATAGCAAATCTGGAAAATGAAAAATGGCACTTCTCTTCTACAAGGAGATACATCAGTGTTTATTAAATCAATGCCAGACAGAGGAATCTGACGGTAAAATAATGAACCACTTATAAATGATCTTTGCTTCGCTGGGCCTTACCTGATCAGGGTGCTCAGGGACTACCAATGCGAGGCATATTAGGAGAGCTCTATTAATCCTAGTGCTTCTCATAGCTGACTATAAAACGTGTGAGTCCTCTGTGACTTGCTCGGCACATCCTTTTTAATTTTTCAACAGTAAAAAAAAAAGAAAAGAAAAAGTGAGACACACAGCTCATTGATTGGATGTGAAAGTTTGGGTTGTGTTCCTGCAGTAACAGCGTGGATATTTCATTATGGTGCTCTGGGACACACATTAGGCAGCTCTGCTACCTTTCACGCGGCATCCATGGCAACTAGGGAGACCGCTCTCCCCGCAGAAATGTGCTTTTAATTGAGTGACATCTAATCAGGCGGTGAAATACAGCGGTAGAGTTAACAAAACAGGTCAACGAGGGACAAGGACTACCAGCTGCAACCGCTGTCACAGCACAGCGACGGCGGTGTTGACCAACTCTTATTAAGTCTGACTTTAATGAACTAAATACAGAGTTGGAGGTATTCCTCACAAGATCTGTGGGTAAATGTGTGATTGGATATGATGAGGCCTTCTTAAGACTACACCAGCTTGGGGAGGAGGCATGTCTTTGATGTGCAGAAATGACTGGATCTGAGAGGTCTAGCAAGCTACGCCTTAGCACATATTAAACAGCCTGCAACGGAACATTTCCACCGTCATCTGTTTTTTTCTCCTCTTCTTTAGCTTGTTGCTTGGTGCGTGTGCTATTTTCTTCCCCAAACATGGCTTTAAATGAAATAGGATTTCTTCCTTATTATCAGATGTCGAATCAGTGCACAGGAGGACACCATCAACTCCGCTCCACCTAAAATGGTCTGCGCTGACAGCACTCGGCAGTGACATACGTAGATAGAGGGGGCGAAGGCGTAGTCTCAGTAAATCTCCTGCCGGTGCTTTGGGGAATCATTGGAATTCATGATCTTTTCTCAGTATGCTAACAATAATCTTCTGCTCGCTCTGTCTCGCACGTCACCAGGCATAGCAAACACTTGTCTTCACTGAGTCTCGGAGAGCATCAGCTTCTCCTCAACATGCAAATTTCAGGGCCGTGTCGCTCTTTGTATAACAACTATGTCTTCAACCTTTCCTAGTCAATACCTTTCATACAGCTGGAGGATGAATCCAGCGTTCATGAGTGGCTTGCTTGACAGATACCCACATTCTGGTGGAGGATTTTAATTTGATAACCCCCTGAGCTGCAAACAACAGGGAAATGGGTTTTTTCCCTTAGTGCTGTAGATTACAATAATTCCCTCAGACACATTTTAAGGCTCTCTAAATGTCTCTACTAAACAAATGCCTCTCTATAAGAGCAGCTCTGCCCTCACTACCAGAAAAAGTGTACATTGTTTTTGTTAAGCAGGGTATAACAAATGTTTCCGCAGTATATTCTGCTGGATGGATAAAATGCAACCCAAGACAAATGTGTCCGTGTTTGTACACTCTACTATCTGCAGCACTGCAAAGAGAGCTCTTAATTTGGAAGCTACTAAGGGTGTAGTATTGCTTCACTAGAAACTGCACTGTTGTCATATGCTTTTGCTCTGATACAAATATTTCCTAGAGGGCTTTTTGTTATTGCTGCCGTCGCATTGTTCAACGCATCTTTGACCGACCAGATCATCTGTTCCTTTAATAATGAAAAAGCTAAACTTTGGTAGTTGAGAGCTTTTGGCATATGCTCTAAATATGGATGTCATATGTTTTACCTGTTTATTATATTTTATGTATCTTTTGTTTGTGTCTTTTTGCATTCTCAGACAAATGTCCCTTTGGGCACGATAAAGTTGAAGTTGAAGCTGAAGTTAACATTACGACAACAGATGGTTGTGATATAGTAAATTCTCACCACGCCCGCTAAAAGAGGTGCTGAATATGTTGTGAGTACCAGTGAAGGCAAATCAAAATATAAGCATACGCTCAGGTACATAAATGAATTACTGACGTTTTAAGTGCTCTTAAATCACTCTGTTTTGTTTCACACATTTACTGCATTTAAATGTAAGCCTTGACACTTGAAGTTTGACAAATGTGATGAAGACATCCACGAAGACATCCACAAAGGCCTGTTTTTGTTTATAATGTTGAAAGTAAAAAACATTGCATCTCCATTTTTTTTTTTATAAACGGGACAATAATAGGTTGACTGATTTGTGATTGCAATCACATTGTGAAATCTTTCTAATGCGGTGTCTTATCACACTCATGGTATTACGGAAGCGCTTCATCGGCCTCACCTCCAGCGTGAAGCTTTGATGATGTCAAGTGGTAGACGACAACCAATTAAAAGCAAATCAGTCAAACAACTGGGGGTCAGATCTCAAGATGCTCCCAATCACTCATCATTTCCCGTTGTTATGCTGCAATATTCCCCGCTCCTGATTGGGGCTTGATAAGTAGGTGTGCATAATGGTCAGTACATCTGTATGTGGAATTGCATCTCATTAAGAAAAAAAACCTAGTCTACTGCACCACCAAAAACACTCTTCGTCTTGTTTCGGAAAAAAGGAAAGTGGCCCCTCAGACTATTTTACTTTAAAGGTGACATGTCATGCTTTTCCGGTTATTACCCGTCCCCTTGTGTGTTATGAAGGTTTTTCTGCATGTAAACGGTGTGCAGAGTCAAAGCCCTCAAAGTACACCGTGTAGCGAGTAAAACTCTAAAACAGAAAATACCTCCCCAAAACGCCTCGTTGGTGAAACGTCATCATGACGTCATCATCCATTTGATTCTTCCGGGTACGTGCTTACGAAAGCACGTACCCGGAACTAAATGGGCCAATCCGAGGAGCCGTTACGTTACGTCCGCGGAGCCGTTACGTTAAGCCCCCGCTGATTGGTCCAAATTGACCAATCCACACACACACACACTCAGTGCAGGCAGCTCTGCTGATCTCTCCTCCCTGGCTGCAGGCTGATAACAGACAGTTGGGATCGCGGCGAAATTCTCTCTGCAGACCCATTCTCACAACGTTCATCAACCTTTTTCTTACTCAATATCAAGCCACACTTATTGTTTTTACTTCGGCTGTGACTTTGTGTGTGTGCTCAGGGTGAGTTTGGCTGTGTATCGCTAAACAGGGAAACCACACCTCCAAGGAGCTCAGTGCGATTCACAACGTCCCGACCAATCAGAGCACACTGTGCTCACAGGGAGGGTGGGGGCTGGAGCTATTG